ATAATCCTCTATGTCTACGCACGGGGGAATGCCGTACTTGACCTTAAACCTATTAATCTGCTCACCACCCTTTACCTTATACTTCCCCAACCCCAAAGAACCAGCCTGAGGATTCTCGGGAGCAAGGCGACGACGAGGCATCTCTAAGAAAATGAGAAAGTGGAGGGTGTTTTTTTCTTAAAAATCCCTGTGGAAGCTTCTCAAGGATTAGTCGCTAAGTATCAACCGGAGACACCTCCAGTCATCGGAAAACAAAAAGGGATAGGAGGAAGAAAAGAAGAAAGATACTAGAACTCACCCGAATGTCAAACGGAGTTTTTTTTCTGAAAAACTTTAAAGCGACTCCTTCCAGAAAGTTCAGAAGCAACGATGGATCTGCTGACCTTAGGACTTTAAGGAAGAATGAGCAGTTGACGATGGAAGAGGAAAGACATCTCCGGCGAAGATTCAGGAAAAGGCTCTCTTAAGGAAGTTCGGAATGGCGAAACAAGAAAATGGAAGAGGAGCCCTATTTATATAGTGGCTGTTTCATCATTGGGCGCAAAAAACGAAACGGCGCATTTAATGAACACGACATCCCAAGCCGGGGAAAGCGGTTCGAGGCAATGATGAAGCATTGGTGGTTGTTGGGAAACCCTGCGTCTCCTTACGACGCGTGCCATCGGTGTCAGAAGATCGAAGGCTGGGGGGCAGTTGATGGGACTTTTCTGAAATGCTCAATGATGAAGACACGTGTCCTCGATATTACCAAAACACTGTTGCTAAGATCAAGCACCATCGGCACATAAAGGTCCTCGCCCCCGAGGTACTCGTCATATAGGATCATGGCGTTCAGTACGTTTTACAACCAACACGTAGTCTCGGTCTGATATGGTACCTCGGTCGGTATCCTCCCTCGGTTCCGAGATGAGCCTTTCCTCGGTGCCGAGGTGTACCCCGTCCAGGACGCCTCCTCTACTCCAGGATAAACTATTGACGTACAGGTCATTAGCCTAGGCTAGTCTAGGCTATTCATCATGACCTCGTCTTACACAGTTAGTGTCAGAACGTACTGGATTGCAGGGGTCACAGCCAATAGGGGATGGACGCGTGGCGTATGATATCACATCGAAGACAGAGAAATCGCATGCCGTTGCTGACACGCGACTTGAAAAAGCAAATGATTAATTACACCATTCCCTTGATGAGACCGCATTCAATGCGGTAAGGCTCGGAAATGAAAGGCAATAAATGCTCCTAATACAGTGCATTTATTACATCCTCCCCGAGAGGAGTACATTGTACCGTCGGCATCCCGATGACCCAGCATTAATTGCTCGGGACCCCGAGCAGTTAAGAAGAGAAGACATTCCTCATCAGAATCAGTGCGCACACTGCCTGTACCTAATGATCACCTACTGACTACACTGACAGCAATCATGAGCTTTTGAGGTATAAATACTCCTTGCAAAAGGCAAGACGGGTATGCAACAAAAAACTCTTTACTACAATACACACTCAGTGTTTTCTCCTTCCTCTCTCTTTCTAAAAGACTGACTAGATCGTCGGAGGGGATACGCCGAAAAACACTCCGGCGCCCTTCTAACTTGTTCTTTGTTCCAGGAACCTCTTTCAGCCTTACTGGATCGTTCTTCCGCTCCCCCAGGATCTCCCGTTGCCGTTCCAGGTTACCACCGGACCTCACAGGTTGTTCCAAACAGCGTGGTTGGTCACTCAACCGGCTCACTCGAGTTCACCAAGGGAGAGATCTGTTCTCGTTTTTTATATTGTGCAGGATCTTGCACGCACACTTCTTAAAAACCTTTGTCAAGGTTTACAAATATGATTTGCAATCAAATACTTATAATAGACCCACTGTGAATACATTTACTATTGAACATTGACATCTTGATTCATTGCATTTGCATGTCCTAAAAAAGTAAACTTTCGAAAACATAGTGGTCAGCCTTCCTACCAAAATATCACCTTGATGGAACCATTTGAGTATGAGTTACAATTAATTTCAATCAATTTGTAGCCAGTAATCTCTCAAAAGGGGAACTTACACACTTTATAAGATAATTATGAAAGCTAAAAAAGTGCAGATTCGACAAAATTAATAGAAAATGACTAAGTTATTTGCTGGGTACCAGGACAATAGTTCGTATTCCACATAAGGCTCATATTATTATTCTCGACTGCTACTACCTGTAATATCACAGATGAAAAGTGTAAGTGGGGCGTTAAAAGAGGTTGACACATATGTTTATGCAAATAATAATCGAAAGGGATGAATAGAATAAGTTGATAGAATGGTAGGAATTCGAGTAGCCTGACGAAGGGACTAACCAATTGGACAGAGTTAAAATACTCTCTCACCAGCCACAAATTTTCGTTGCAGAAGGAAAGTAATGTGAGTATTTATAGCACAATGCTTGGGCAGTTCAGGTTGCCTAAAGGACTGTCTGTCGCGACTTCTAACACTTGCGTCAATCCACAATAATCTTGACCGCGACGATACTAGTGATGACTAACCATGAGTCATTGTCCCAACATTAATAAGGGGATGTGACGTTTCTCTAAACATAGTCTGGGCATGGCCCCGGGGAGGGTGCGGCAGTCGAGGCAAAAAAGGCTTCCTGAGGTTAATAATCACGATTGCTCACTATGGGACTATAACCTCGTGAGGACCATGACTAGTGCACTCCTCCTCTAGGTCCTCCCTTCTATCTCTAAACCCTTCTTAAAAACCTTTCTCAAGGTGCATGATCGAGGAAGTTTACCTAGTTTCGGTCTTTTAGCCACCTATTCATATGTCACATCATCTCATATGTTGATTCAGACCAATAACCACAGTTACATTAGGAGTCCCTCCTGATCCCAGTCAAACATATTCTAATGGGAAATGAGCCATACATTGAAAGACCTACTTGAACAAACTAAATCTTCAAGACGCTGCCCTAGGTCGAGGTTGGCAATTATGTTCATCCATTCCTGTTGTTTAGTTCTTTCTTGAGAATGTCATATTGCCCAACTCTAAGTGAGGACCCTTCCTCATAGTCCAGTGGGCCAATCGAGCAACAATGTTTATATAGGTTAAGGATGTCATTCGACAGTGGGGGAGACGAGTCTCGTCGAGGTTGCCCCCAAACTTGTGCAGTTCCATTTTTGTCCATCTTTGGTAAAGGGTCCATTCTGTCACTTCCAAAGCAACGGGGATGTGTTTCGCTCTGTTATGGTGTTGCACCTGAGGACTTCACAACCAGGGTTGTCGTACCTTAGCTGTCACACATGAGGTGTCGCGCCTAGGACGTCGCATCTCACACCTTAGTTGTGCTTGGGGCATCGTCCCTGGCCCCCGGGAAGAGGGGGGGAGTCACACCTGAGGGTGTCGCACTTGACACTGTTATCCATACTATTCCAATTGGACCTTGTGGGGCCCCACTTCCATGGTAGCTACTAATTGATCTCACTTGTCTTGTTATGGTGTGGACATGTGTCTTGAATTTATCAAGTACTACAAAAAATAACCTCACTGAAGCAAAATTCAACCCATACTCCCAGCTATTCTATCTACACACCCTCACACATTGTGCATTTCAATTCAACTGAGCTCAACAAAGTCTTGATCCCATATATTTGGGATCAACTAGGCAAATCTTATTAGAAAACTTCCAACTTTACCTCTCTACTAAAATATTTTTCTCTCTATAACCAACAAAATTCAATTATGAAGAAAAAGAAAGCATTTTCATTTATCTCACCTAATCTGTTCAAAAGCAGTGACACTCACAAAAAGAAGATGGACACACTCATAAAACCAAGAAAATACATTGTGCCCTAAGCGAGTAAAGTGAAAAAAATTATTCATAAAACATTTCAACTTTGACAGATATATCACAAATTTCTTTTAAAAATCATTAAAGAGAGAGGGAGGGAAGGAGAGAGAGATTTGAGTTAAAGATGACTAATTGAAGTTCTATCTATTAAATGAGTAGAGATAAAAGTTGTATGACCAACAGGTTTTTGGTTTAATGATACCCTTCAACATGTGAAGATTTTACCTTGGTTAAGAGTTTAAGTCTACTAAGCGACAAAAAATATGGTTAGTTGGTAGGACAAACCTCAGTTACTTGAACGAACTGTATTCAAATTTCTAGTGTGAGTTTGAATCCCCACCGAAGTACAAATCTTGATTTGAGTAGTGTATCCGAATATGAGTTAAAGAACCGGTTTATGCACTCAGAGTTTGGCTTCGAACTCACAAGCCTGAGTAACATAAGAGCGTTTTTATTCGCCTGGGTAGACCAACAATTTTCCCTTTACCCAAAAATAAAAAAGTTGTTTGACACAGGTAATGTTAACATTTTATGCATCCCCTCATAAGCCAAATGAAGTTCCATGCACATACAAAATTTGTAACACAAGAAGGTTTCTCTATGGCTTTTTGTGCTTTTTTCATTTCAGAACTTATAATGATTTAGGCACAATTGTTGCCATGTATGAAAATTTCAGTCTTATTTAGCTGCCCTCACCCAAATACTCCAAAGGCTTAATCTCTTTGGTGCCATGTTGAAAGATAATAAACATATCTCCTTATTGATTCGAAAAAATAAATGCTTGTTTTTTCCAGTCCACACTCTTCCAAACGATTATCAAATCTAAGAAATCCCCCTCCCCCCAAAAATAAAATAAAAAAACAAGAAAAAAATCATATCCTAGATAGGAAAATTTTACAGGAAACACAATGCCCATTTGGTCATCTTCTATGTGGCAAACATGACAATTCCTTGATGTAGCATTTCTTAGGCAAACAGACCTCTTCTTAACATTCTACTCAACCAGACACAGCCAGTTTTGCACACCATAACCTACTTACACCTGGCATTTACCCAATAGATTCCAGGTGAACCCTGAAAAGAGAAAATTGGAGACTTTCAATAGCAACAAAAAGCTTATCTCTAATTGATATCATATGTTCCACTCATGCATAGACACATAGCACTCTATGGCCCCCACAAATGAGGTTATCTCACTTACCATCCCTACTCATGTGATTCTCTCTTTGAATTGAGCTGGGGACATCAATGTCCATGCAATAAATACCAAAAGTAAGAGGCGGCACTAGCAGCTAAAAATGATTTAAGACCTTCTGATCAGGACTGGTGATTCAATTTAAGCCCTCATAAATCTCATCCACTGACTCAACTTAAGCCAACCCATACCCCTATAAATTTCAACAACAATGTGAGTTCTTGCTCATCCACAACCCTTTCTTCTTTCCCTTCAGCATTTTCTCTGGCTCCTACTGTACCTTTTTGACTCATAAAACCTTCAAAAGTAAAATAATGGCAAGCTCTCGCCTTGCAAGGTTTGTCACTGAGGTTGCACCATCAAAATTTGTTGGTGTCATGAGGCACCACCGAGCTTCAAAGATGTTAGATACAATAAATGAAGACGAGAGGGAATTTAGCACAAACGATTCTCTTACTTTGGCTCCAAAGAGTTCAGCCTCATCAACTTCATCTTCATCTTCGAAGGAAAGTACTTGCAAGCACTTTCTCATTGATGTTCAAAGATCTTACTCAATCTTGGGCAACTAAAAAACCTACTTTCCTGGTGGTATCTCGAGATTGAAGAGATCAAATTCCTCCCGGGCACATTTTGGAGCCAATTAAAGCTGCACTTTTTTCTGACTAGTCTGTTATTTTGTTCTTCTAAGCTATGGAGTCCGGGGGATCTTGGCTGAAGCCTAAGACTTGCTGAGACTGTATAAAGATAGATTATTGTACCAAGCAATAGTGTAATGGAGTGAAAAGTTATACTGCAGCTCTTTCTCTCTGATGTATTTTCAGATTTTTCTGTAAATATTCCAGTATGAGTTTCTCTATTTCTTTGAGCAACTATTCATAAAATAAAATGGCAGCCCAATGCATGACGATCCCGGCACATTGGGGTAAGAGAAGAGTCAGATATTCGTAGTCTTAGCCCTCATATGGAGAGGATATTCGATGTCCAAAACACAGTAATCTTACTACTATTATAAAGCCCGCCCTCTAAATTGTATAATTTGTCATGACAACTAAAAATCAATTCTAATACTTAACAGATATAAGCGTGGCTGAGAAAATATTGTCCCCAATATCGTTTTGAACATTGAAAGACTCAAACCCGAAAAAAAAAAAAATTATTCATTCCCTATATTTTGTCTTATTTTTTAAAGAAAAACAACACTAAACCACAAGAATCATGTGTCTTCTTTCTCTTCATTCATACTTTTTGGTTTGATATGATGAAAGAGTACTGTGATTCCTGACCAAGAAGGTAATTCTGCAGGTTTACTCTAAGATGGACATTCCATTTGAGTAATTTTTCAAATAATTCATGCAAGTGGGAGACATAAAAGCCATCAAACGCATGCCAAATCTAATGGATTCAAGCTGCATTACTGCCCTAACATGTTTTTAGGATTTAGTGCTTTTCAAATCCAAGCCAACCACCAAGTGGGGTGGTCTAAGTAGGTATCGGCCGAACTTCTCACCTAAGGTTGGATGTTCAAGTTTTGGAGTCCACATTAAAATTCAAAATTTGTTTCCGAAAGGAGTAACAGGCACAGTTAGAAACTTCATGATCCTACCGAAGGAAATTGAATGAATTTAATTTTTAACTAGTGAATATGGATGGATAAATAAGGTGAGAAATGAGATTTAAGGAGTGAGAATTACTCCTCCCTATTACAAATCAGGATGGCCCATATTGGGCTGGGCTAGGCTGGGCCAGAACATGGAAATAAACCTATTTACTAGGCCCAACCTAGACTCCTATTACATCTCCAAAAAGGCAGAGAAGAAAAAAAAAAAAAAAAACTTTTTCTTTGGTCATTATCAAGGATGAGGGAAGAGTTGGGTTTTTACCTCTATTTTTGCAACTCGTAAATCCCTTAATTTTCTATTAATGTTTATTACTTGTCTCCTCTCATTCTTGTATCTCTCTTAAACTCTATGAATCTCACTCTTTTACAATCGCACACATAAGTTGTCATGCGAAGAACTCAATAGTAAAGGTGTCAGTCGTGTCGAATTAAATAGATTCGTGTCCGATCTAATTAGAGTCAGGTAAAAAATTATTTAATCTCGTACATAATTCGTTTAATTAAACGAGTGAAATCTACAAACTAAACATGATTCTTTTATTAAACAAATTATCCGACACAATTTGTTTAATCCGTTTAATAAATATTTTTATAATAAAAAATAATTATTAATTTTTTTAACTGATCTAATTACTAAATTACATATATTATTTTGATTAAATTTTTTTTGAATAATTATTAATTTTATTTAAATGGGTGATAAACGGGTTAACATATATCAGTTGAACACAATTTGTTATTAAACGGGGTGTACCTGTTTATTAAACAGGTCATCTGTATCAGTTAAGACATTACTCAAATTCACTTAACTTCGTATCGATTCATATCGTGTCGCATTTTGTCAGATTTACTCACTAGTTATATCATGACTTAGAGGTGGCAATTAAGTCGTGTCGGGTTGGGTTATTGCTAGTTCATGTCAAACATTAGTCAATCTTAACTCAATTTATTTAATTAATCATGTCGTGTCAAGTTGACATATTTATTTTAGTGTCGTATTTGTATTCTTATTCGTGTTAACCCACATAAACTTTGAGTAAAAAATTTAACTTTAATATTCTATTTTCACTTAATTGAATTCATGCTCATACTTTTTTTACAAATTAAAAATTAATTTAATAAACATAATAATAATAAGAAGTAAAAATATCTTTTTAATACAATAATTATGTCAATACTTAATAAATAGTTACAAATAATTAACATTTTATTTCTATAATACTAGTACAACGTGTTAATTTCGTGTTGTTTGTGTTATCATACAAATAAAAAAATAAAAAAAATGTTCATTCTTTAAATAAACGGGTTAATCGTATCAATTTTGGGTTTGGCAGCTTAAACTCGAACATGACCCGTTTATATTTCGTGTTTGCATGTCTGGTCATTTTTGAATTCGTATCGATTTATAATTGAATTTATGTCATCAAATTTGTATCGAGTTCGAATCATAAGTCCAACATTACCACCCCAACCATAAGTGAAAGAGATTTGAAATGGGCCTGGTCTCGCTCAGTACATATTGCTGGTCCTTTCCGCTGATGCAAATTTTGCAAGTTTGACATAGTCCTATGTTTAAAACTATGGATTAAGGCATCGATATATATGAAAATTGAGCTTCATCCTTTGTTCTGTTTAATAGCAAAATAACATATCAATCCAAAAAAACATTATCCATCATCATTACTTTAATTTCTTATGGATAAGGTTTCAATTAAATTTTTTTTATTTTATTTCTAGAGTATGTGCATTATATAAATTTTTTTGTCCATCGACTAGTAATTAAGAAGATGAAGTAAAAGACGTTCTAAGTTCGAATTTTGATAATTTCTTATAAACATGTAATAGGGAATTTATCACTTATGAATCTCTTAATTCTACCGTAGATGATCTTTTTTTAACCAGTTTAGGGAAAGAATTAGTTGAGGTGTCTATAAACTGGTTTAAACACTCTTGACAATTTAATAAAAAAAAAAAAAAGAGGAGATGAAGCAACACAATGACGTCCATGCTTTGAAAATAATAAAAAAATTAAATGCATAATTTATCATTTCCTTAATAAAAAAAATTGCATTATTGGTGCAACACCTACCCCACTTATTTTTTAAAGCAATAATTGAAGCCTTTTCATCTATGACTATGATTACATAATTTGTCATTCTCCTTTACAATATTAATATTTTCTTGACGATATCGTACCTCTAAAATTTATTACTTTAAATGGTATTTTAATTACTTTTGTGGGTTATTTTATAATTAAAAAATTTATCACTTTCACAGTTGATTTATTATTTTTGTGAATTTTTTACCACTGTTATACGTTTTTTTACTATATTTGTGATAATTATTTTTATCACCTTTTTTAAATAAAAAAAATTTATTACTTTTATAAGTGATTTATCATATTTGTAGATATTTTTTATCACCGTTGTGATAATTGTTTTTACCTTCCGGGACAGTGTTGAGCCAGTTATGTGAGTGTCTCAAGTGCTGTGCTGATATTAAAGTGTCTGTCTAAATCAAGCCCCCTTAGTTTGTCGTTGAATAGACTTAAAATCTTATTATATATATTTTTAATTTCATTAATTAAGCATTCTAGCCAATTATATTTAAATCAATCCAAAAAAATAATTATTTTATTTATAATAAAAATATTTATCCATCAGGAATTTACATGATAATAGATTTTGTTCATTTGGCCAGTAATTAAAGAAGTTAGTCAACATCTTGACGTCCATGCTTGAAAATAAAATATCAAATGCATAATTTATTATTTCCTTAATAAAAAAATATGCATTATTTTTCTATACCTAACTTTGCATTTTTTTATGCAATAATTCAATTCATATATTCAAAATTATTATCCTTTCTCCTCTAAAATAATATTATTTTTTGCCGATATTATTTATATTATCCTCATATTCAAATTTCTGGTCCCACAACAATCTGACCCTTTGGGTAGAGTAATTTTATGATACCCAACAAAAAATTGATACCTTACCAAAAATTATTATTACAATTGTAGCTTTTATCTCAAAATATTAATACTTGTATAGTCAACTAAATCTTAGATTATTATATTTGTATAGTCAATTATTTAGTAATCTTATTCGGGAATAAGATCATTACTATAATCTAATTTTCAATAATGATGGGTATCATAAACTCATGATTAATGGTCGTAATCTCATACCTAAACTAAATTTCTGACAATAACAAAATAGTAAATACGAGATTATTATGATAATTAAAATCAATGTATCTCATTACTGAGAATAAGATACCAATTTTCAATTAAATTTAATGTCATTCAAACGTGCACTCAAATCTTTCATTTAAAGAAACACAACTCAAAACCAATCACCAAGGCATAACTTTCAGATCTAATATTTTTTTTTATATTCTATTNTTACCGAAGGCATAACTTTCAGATATAATACTTTTTTTTATATTCTATTTATTTGATTTATTATTTTATTGAAGCATTTAAAAAACAAAGAGGGGCCAATGGGGATGAATTTGGCTCATGTTTTCTTTCTTATTCCCCGAAAGGAAAGGAAAAGTAGGGGAATCATACTTTTTACCCCAAAAAAAATTTATTTTATACTTTTAAAGAATAAATTTTTTATATTACACCCTTAATAGATTAAAAGAATTGTAATATAACATTTCTGTTAATTTTATTTTTTATTCTGTTAAAAATTGTCCCGTTAATTTTAACAAAATGAGCATAAAAAACTAATGGCAAGATATTTTTCATATATTAAAAGTGTAATATAAAAAAAATTAATTTTTATAAGTATAAAATAAAAATTCTTAATTCACCCGAAAAGTTCAAAAACAAAAAAGGTGATTAGGTGAATGTGACCCACATTGACAAATGGCATCATTTAATTTTTAGAATTGGGTCCCAATTGGTTGGTAGTGGGTTAGGCAGCATTGGCCATATGCCAT